AAAGAGATCGAGGAGGAAAAGCTTTGATAGTAACTCCGTTGGTATTCGTTGGACCCTCTGGATAGTTTCCAGAGGCAAACGGGAGTCACGGAAAAGTAATGATCTCCTTCTCTCTCTTTCTCTCTTTTTCTTTTCTTTCTCTTTTTTTCTCTTTTTTCTCAACTTTTTTTTCGGTTGGAATCTTTCCAAGGACGATCTCCCGATTCGGTCGTCCCTATTTTATCGCGAGGCTGCAAATTCCTGGAAGATCAATTACCAACGATCCTCGTGTCGTTCCAGTTGACGCATCTCCTCGACGTTGCACTTTTGCACGACGGAAGTAGCTTAGTCCGATATCGGGCACGTTACACGAGCACGTTAAACGTTTAACGTTTCTCTTGCTGCATTCGGAGTCTTTCCCGTTTTAAAAGAAAGGCGAGTTGAGAGAGAGGGAGAGAAAGAAATAAAGGGAGAAAGAGAGAGGGAAAGAGAGAAACAGAGAGAGGGAGAGTAAAAAAAACAAGGGTGAAGGAGAAGGAAGTTAAACAGTAAAGCGTTTTCAAGTAATTGGAAAAAGGTATTCGCGGTCGTATCGTGTCCACCAGTTTTCTCTCTATCTCTCTATCTCTCTCACTCACTCTTTTCCTCTTAGGTATACACACAAGTAGGTACGGGCCACTCTCTAGTCGTTGATGCTTTTAGGGTTCTTGCTGGTTAACGGAGTAATACGCTTCATTACTTAATGGCGTGTAATTCACTTCGCTTACTCGTATAATCTGCTTCAACGCGTGCCCTACCACCGCACAATTTTAATCGAACGCGTACGGTCCACCGTTTCTAGTTCAACAAGTTAACCGTTTTCCTTTCATCAAAGGAAAACATACAGAGATAAATTTTGCGAAGTCGTACCTATAATTTCGCACATATGTAATACGATCGTCAAGTTCATGTAGAATCGTTTTTGATTTTTTTCATTGGTAAACACATTGCGTGACCCAGTATATTACATCATCGGTTATCGTATACACTAATTGGATCGAAGCTTGTTAATCTTTAATAATATTTAACCGACGATTCGAAAAAGTATGAGGGAGGGCGAGTGGGAGGGGAGGAGGGGAAGGAGGGAGAGAATCGGGAGGACGGTGTTAAACACTGCTCGTTCTTCCTTAAACGCTTTCCTTTCACGCAAAGCAAACGAAAGGTTTCAAAGTATCCGTTTATAGAAGAGGCCTTCCTACGTGTTTGCCGAAGAAAACGTCGATGGTTTCGAAGGGGAAAGCTTCCCCTCTCTCTTCCTCTTCTCTGTCTCTTTCTCTCTCTCTCTCTCTCTTCTTCGTCTTGCTACCAGAATGGAATACAAAAAGGTACCTTCGACAAGTCGATAATTGGCATCGAGTTATTCTCAGTTTAACTACGTCGTGAAACGCGTTCGTCCGAAAAGAGACACCCAATACCGATCTCTTTCTTTTTTATCTCCTTTTTTTCTTCCCTTTCCTTCTCTTCTCTGCTTTACTTTGGGATCTTATTCGTGTAAAGTAAAGGAGACTAGAGTAAAAAAAAGCGAAAAAAGTAAATAATTCGTAAAAGCGAATCAACGAGAAAAGAGAAGGAAAGAGTGAGAGAAAGAAAGAAAAAGAGAGAGAGAGAGAGAGAGAGAGGACACGTATAATTACAGTGCGGTTTAAAACGGGACGATACCGGGCGGAGATACGTTATTACACGGCGTGTTATACGGCAAACAAGGAAGAGAGATAGAGAAAGAAAGAGGTGAACTAACGAGGCGAAAAAACACGAGCTCGTGCCACCGGTTCACGATCGTATTTTCGGTGTGGAAGACCGCAAACGCCATTACTTTTCCGTAGAATTTCAGTCGCGAACAACAAGTAGTAGATACGTATACATATATATGTGTTGAGTGTGTATGATATTATATATATATATACATATAATGCACACGTATAAAAGTATAGGTGAGCATACACGTTCTCGACTCGACGACTTTCAGGGTCACGCGTACTTAAAAGAGTGTATCGTACTCGCGGTCGTTTTTGCTCGTTCTTTTCTTTTTTTTTCTTTTTTTCTTTCTTTCGTTCGTTCGTTCTTTCGTTCGTTCGTTTGTTCGTTGGTTCATTCGTTCGTCCGTTTTCGTTTGTTATCTCACGAAAAGGCGTAAGATACAGAGGCAAAAGAAAGATCCGCTTATTCGTCGTGGTACTGGCAGATAAATTCCTCTCTCGGAGTTACGGCGGGCGCGCCGGAAAGTTTCCTGGGAAAAGCGTGCTACGGCGACGTAAGCGCGAAAGAGGTGGGCAAGGCGTATAGCGGGGTGGAAGAGGATAGATAGGTTAAAACGAAGGAGTGCGAGAAAGAGAAAAAACATCGTAACGGCTCGACAAAAAGAGTAGAAGCGAGAGAGTCGACTGGAGGCCGAGAAGGAGGCGAAGGATGAAGAGATGGTGGTGGAGGAGGAGGTCGAGTAGGAAGAGGGATGCGAGGAGCGAAGTGGGTACCACGGCGACAGACATAGTGGGGGAAGGTATGACGGGGAGTATGTTGGGAGGGGGGAAACATCGGCTCGTCGAGGCGCGCGGCGCTTAGTTCGTGTCGGACCTCCGTCGCAGTCGGATCGCATCGTTCCGCCCTAACATACCGTCTCTCTCTCTCTCTTTCTCGCGCGTGCTCTCTTCTCTCTCTCCCTTTAACCTCTCTCTCGCGCGCACACGTTCTCCCTTCTTTTCGTCCTATCACTTTCTCATTTTTTCTCTCTCTTTTTTTTCTCTTTCTGACTTTTTTTCCCTCTGCGCGCGTGTGTGTGTATTTACACACGTAAAACAGTACCTCACTTTCTTTCTTTCTCTCTTGATAACGACGTCCAGGAGTTCCGCCCAGTGTGTAATAAGAGAAGGCGGAGAGAGAACTTTTAATCGAGGAAAGAAGAAGCAAAAGAAGAGAATCACACAAGGAGCGTTTAGTCACGATCAAGGCGCTTTCGCGCTTTTGTCGATCATCTTTACTGTGTCGTGTCTTATTCGCCGTTGTTCTTCTAGAAAGGAATTTTCGATGTGTGACGACGTGTGGATTAACACATAATATTATAACAACCAGAGGAGGCTGTAAAGTTTACGGTAAATAACGGGGAATGTATATACATACATATGTATCACATGCATATATACATGCGGTTTCGCGCGCCTTAAATCTCCCGGTTTTCCCCTCTTTTTTTTTATCTTTCGAGTGTGCTGTCACAGGTGTCTTTCGATCGGTTGAATCGATGAGACGGGCGAACGACGAACGATATAAAAGTTAAAAGGAACATCAAAGTTATAGAATAAGAATAAAAATAATAATAATAGTGTGATAGCGACGAATAAGATGATGATTCCTCAAGCGACGCGCACTTCCTTTACGTAACGAAAGCGCGTTAAGAGAGAGAGCGCGCGCGCGCTTGCGCTCTATATAATCCCTTCGTGTCGTCGTCGTTGTCCGTTCATCGTGTCGTTGTGTCGTGTTGCGTTGTGTTGTGTCATTGGGTTGCGACGCTACTCAACGGACTTATTTTGTTGGAAGGAAGGAGGCAAGTTTGCTGCTGTGTCAGTGTGTTCATCGAAGCGGGCCTTTGCTGCGCTTCGATCATCGGCATTGCTCGTTTTCGTGCGTCCTCGTGCCCCCTCGTATGCCCCCGTCGATTGGTTACCACCTCTTACCCCCATTTCCCTCTTACTCATCGTCCTTCTCCTCCTCCCATTCCTCCCCCCTCCTCCTCCTTATCTCTCTGGCTCTTTGTTGTCAGTGCCTCCGTGAATTCCATCGCGCGTTGTCGGTGTGTCGGTCTGACGGTCTTCTCGACTTTCGCTTAAGGATTATTCTCCGTTTTCTGCTACTTCTTCGTTTTCCTTTCCGTCGTTTTGTACTTTTCCTTTTTCTTTTCGTCGTCGTTGGTCGTTATTGTCGTCGTCGTCCGTTCTACGATTCGCCGACGGTACAGCGTTTTACGCGAGTTAGAGCGTCTGCTCGTTTTCGCGGACGGCCTTCGATCGATCGATTCACCGTATGTATATTTGTGTGTCTACATATACTCTTTCTCCCTCTCTCCCTCCCTCCCTTCATCTCTCTCCTCTCCTCTCCTCTCCCTCTTTCACTCTTTCGTTTAAATCGTCTATCTAAATCACATCACATCGGATCCGTAGATCGAAAGCGCGCTTGTTGTCCGTTATCCTAAACTCGTTGTCCCGTTCTCTATAGTCACTTATTTACATTTGATCGTTTATGTTTTTCAGAAAAGCCGTCACACACATACACGTATACACACACGTGACACATTCTCTCTCTTTCTAACACACACATCCAAATACAAGAAGAAGAAGAAGGAAAAGAGATTAATAACGGACGAAACAACTTTGAAAACGAGCTTGCGTGTTTTCTCTTTCTGGTCTCTAATTGAGAGAGATAATCAAAGTGAAGTTATATCGAAGATATAATTATATCAAAGAAGAAAGAAGATAGAGGATAATAAATAGCAGTGGTGAGATATAAAAAGAAAAAAATTCATCGGTGCTGATATTGTGTTTTGTGATCATAGTTAGTGTGTCAACAAGGAAAAAAAGGCGTACAAAGGTGGCCCGTGCAATGGCCGTTTCAAATACTTCGACTCCTCGTTCTCGTTGAGAATATTTGTGTTACTTTTCCATTTCCCTTCTCCACTTTCCTATTTTCTATTTCTTTCTTTTTTGTTGTTGTTGTTTCTATCTATATTTTTGATCCTATATTTTTTTCTCTCTTTCTGTCCGTTTACCCCGTTTTCGTCTATCGTCAGTGTAGAGAGTTTTGTGCCGCGAGTGGGTGCGCCAATCGAAAAGTGTTGCTTCGAGAGAGAGCCAACGCGCGCCACGCCACGCCACGCAAGTGTGCCCTTGGAATAAGTGTCGATCGATGGGAAAAAGAAATAAAGAAATAAAAGTTATAGAAAAAAAAAATAATAATAAATAAGCTCTCTTTCGTTAGAGAGAGTTTAATATTTCATCGTTTCGCGCGTTTATCTTTTTCTTCTTATTTCGCGCATTAAGTTGGGTTTTGGTTTTATTTTCTTGTTTGCTACGACAATACGACTTGTGCATTTTGAAAAGGAAATAAAAAATAAATAAAAATAAAAAAAGGAAATAAAAAAGTGTGAGAGTTTCGCTTTATATTATAATTATCGTCAAAGTGTGTTTCTCATCACATCTTTCTTCTTACTCCTCATTGTGGATTATTATTTATTGGATTTACTTCTACACGATCATCGTCATTGCCGTCATCATCCTCAACGAACCGGATTGATTATGAAAGGATCCATCGACTTTGAGGATTTTTATCACTAATTCGAGGAGATCAACTTGTTTTATGTGAGTAATTGAATATATTTTTAATTTATCGCCAATTTAGATGCGTATAGTGTATTTTCGCAAATGCGTTTATTTAGGTGTGCGTGAAAAGAAAAAGAGAGGGAGGGAGAGAGTGAGTTTATCGCTCGATCGGCTGCCATCTTGTTATTTGTCGTCGAGGTTACGCGTTCGATTCGACGATCCCTTCACAGTGTTTACTTTTTCGTATTACATCTTTTTCTTTCTTTCTTTTTTTATCTATTTATTTATTTATTTATTTATTTATTTATTTATATCTATCTTTCTTTCTTACTATTTTTTGTTCACGTTTTTTTCTCTCTTTAATTTTTTCTCTATTTCCATGCTTTTCTATTATTTTTTTCGTGTGCGTGCTTATTAGGTTATATGAGATTCGTTTTTTTATTATTCATCTATTTACTTGCTTTTTGTTTTTTTCTCTGTAAATGTATATTCACAAGTCTCGAAATGTGCGAAACTTTTTTTTCTATTTTTATTTTGAGTCAGTTTATTTGTTTTTTATTGTACTTTTAATAATATTCTCGATTTCGCGGAAGGTCAAAAGAAACCGTTGAGATGCGTCGGATGAAAAAGCTTAGCTCTTTTTTCGAGTTCTTTTTGTTTTGTTTTGTTATATTCATTTAGAAAGTTTCATAGATACTTTCTGCACGTGTATATGATTTGGAAAAATAAAATTCTATTTGTATGCTAAATGTCATTATCCGTCGAATTTTTTGGCTAATAAATAATGTAAAAAATTTCAATACATTAATTATGACAGTTTTAAAAAATGCTTTCTATCGTTATCCGTTTTTATGTAAAATATCATAAACGATTTGGATATATAGAAATTCTAACATAATTTATTAAAATACAAACTATTAAAAAAATTCTTAATTATAATCATTGAGAAATTAAAAATATTTTCTAAAATTTTAACGTATTTTGTTAGCAAATCGTCACGTTCGAAGTATGAACGACAACTATATCTCTTATGTTAGTTGATATTTAAATCGATTAATAATGATTTTTCAAGGAATACGTTAAAGAGAGAAAATAGGTAGATATATATTTTGAGAAACAACTCGTACTCGAAAGCAAAGTCATCGTTGATCTTACGTCATGACAGCGGAAACTTGGCGAAGGTCGAGCTCGTGCCGGATCGTCTAGCTCGATCGCAAGTATGTCTCGACTTGCACTCGTTTCAATCCGTCATATTATTATTACGAAGGAAGAATACGACTGATGACAACCAACAACGACGACGAAGATTACACCTCGGATTGCAAGAAACACAACAGAGATAAAATGTTTCGTAAAAATACTACGCTTTTATTACAAATACTTTGTTACGATATTTCTTGGTTTTATCTACACGAGATTAGATTAGGGAGTTAAATTGTTAATCTATTTTGTATTTATATATGTCCTATCAATTGTATTCTTCCTTTTCTAAATGATACTTTATCTTAATTATATGTCTTATTGATATTTCTGATATTGAATATACTGAAGTATTGAGCCTATTCTTTTCTACAAGTTTGAGATAATATCGAAAGATAAAAGTTAGTTTGATTGAAAAACAATTGTTTCTATTTTAGCTTATATATGCATGTATTGTATGTATAAAATTATTCAGTTTCAAATCCAAGAATCTTGGCTTATAATATCCTAACAACAATTGAAATTCTAAAATATACAAATATATATTTGTAATATATACAGAATGTTTTAAAATAAATTCAAGGGTAGTTTCAGTATGTCAGAATAAGAAACATGATCATATATCGAGCAATTGATTGTATGAACTGTTTTTATTTTAACGAACTGAAACTATCCTTGAAGTTTTGTTTAAAATATCTTGTTTATTTATACAATATTACTTTTCACATTGTAATTAATTAATGGACGCAACTCTGACTAAAATGAATTGAATTTAAAATTTGATTAATATACATCTCTATATATATAACATCATCTGATAAGTAAAACTGTTTATAATTCGAAATTATTATCGTTCGTGAATACTTTATATTTTAATATGAGACGATTCATGGGATAACAAATTTCGAATATTTATGGTACCAATGGTATACATCGTGAATAAAGGTTTGAATTAGATAAAGATAGATAAAAGTATCAAACTAGTGACAACATATATTTTATTTCTCCTTCTTATATTTTATTTATACATACGCGATCCTATCTATCTCTCTTGGTAAATGAATATTTCATTCAAAAAGGAAGGATACTGTTATACTACTATCTCCTACCCCTTACATTTCCTATTCCTACAGAGATGGTTAATTATTCTTCGTGTATTAATAATCTAACGATATTTGGTCTCCTTAATCGAAACTTTTGAATTATTCAAGTAAGAACTTTGCTTTGGTCCAGTCATCCTCTCGTTGTCGTAAATCGTGCACGATTATTTTATCGAGTTGAAAAGTGGCGTGTTATTGGTCAGTGGCATGCCTTGCGCAGAGATTGATGAAACTCCGAAGTTTTTTTGTGACCGAAGAAACACAACTTCAGTAAACAGTCTCCTGTACAACGTGAGTTTCTATAGAGAGCACGAATTTCTATTACACGAATTCATACAACGTGTAATAGGAATACATATTTAATCGCTTTATATAGAAGTTTACAGTAACATAATTTATTATATCAAGACTTCTTGAATTTTTCTCCTTGCCCATCCCTTATATTTTCGCGTGGATAAAGAACCATATAAACTAGGAATACGAATTAAAACATTTGCTGATAACAAATTGTAAAAAAAAATTATGTATCCTTTCGTATATACTATATCCAAATATAAATTTTAACATCTATTAACTTTTTGACTGCTATGGGCGAATATATACATCCATCAAAGGATATCAGTATAAATTATGAACGCATATATGCACCTTGCGAAAGCTTTGATTGTTTATACTATAATTTCATGTGTATGTTATGTTTGGTAATTGTTTCTATTGTATATGTCAAACAGCGATCGCATGTCACTCATCACGCGATACGTTTCAAATTATTAGAACAGTTCAAAGTCAAAGAGATAAAGACAAAGCCAAATATTCATACCAATGTTGATAGTATTATTGCGACTCAATATGGGGTCGCGCAAACTATACTTCGCAAAGCCTTGATTCGTATCTTTGTCAACGATAGTTTCGATTTCTCCCAACGCTCAGTTTTTGTAAGTCTCGGTTATTTCGCGTTGCGGAACGTAAGCAAACAAAGATTTCTTTTGCACTTTTTTTTCATGCTTGAGCACAACTTTCGTTTGAATTCTTTGGTTCTTTCTCAAGGGATTGTGAGGACGTACCATTACCACTACTAGTCGAACGAGGTCGATTCCAATATATTCGTGTTGTTGTTGTTGTGTTGTGTTGTTAGTGGTACTCGGAATATAGGTAATAAAAATAGGAGGAGAAAACCTTTTTCGAAGGATTTCGAAATGGTTAGAGGAGCACGAAAAGAATAGGTATAGACAAGAATAGAATAGGTAGAAGAATACTTGGTTCGAAAGCTTTCGATAAAGGAAACGATTACGTTTTATCTCTTTGGTCTATGGAATGTTTATACATGATGTATATATACGTAGGTATGTGTGTGTCTGTATGTGTATGTGTATCTGCTTATACACGAGTTTTCAATCATCGAGAGGTTCTTTATTTAACTATGTTAAGAATTTATGATACCCGAACGATTAATTATCATCGTATTCTCTCGAGTATTTTCATTTCATTGGAGAAAGAGAGAGATAAGATTTGTTCATGCATCGTGATAAGATGATTCACGCGTGAGTACAAATGAAACTTCAATTTTGTAGGAAATCATTATTATTTTTTTCTTCCTTTCGTATTTTTCTTTTCCTCGTAGTAGTAGTAGTTTTCTTCTCTCTCGATTACAACGCGTTAATTCTTCTTCTTCTTCTTCTTCTTTTTCTTCTTCTTCTACTTCTATTTTCAGTTCGCTTCCCTTTCCCTTTTGTAATTTCGTAGTCACCCTTTTTGCCTAGATCTTCTTCCATCCCTACGCGGAAGAAGTTTTCGAGGAAAATTTAACGACGACGCTTCTCTCTCTTTCGCGCGTCTTGCCTGGCTACCTTCTCTACCGTCTAGAAAACTTTTCTGGACGAGATTCAAGCGTGGAAACTCGAACGAGTACACTCTTCAAAGAGCGAGAGAAATAGAAAGAGAAAGATAGAAATAGAGATAGAGATAGAAACAAAGAGAGAAAGTGTCGTTAGAATGAATCATCAATTTAGTCGATCTTTTGTTTAATGATTTTAAAAAAACTAATATTGTTAATTAAACATAAGTCGATTATCAATCCTTATGAAAATACGAAAAATCTTTCACGTAAACAAATAATGTGATCATCTCGTAGAACTATTATACTAAAGTTAATTTGATCCCATAACTTGGTTGAAACGAATCGAATTTACTTGTTATTCTACGATGACGTTGCTAAGATTTGAGCGTGACATTCCCGTTGGCAGTTAGTTTTATCGCTTTAGTTCGCATCGAGCACGTGGCATCATCCTCATCATCATCATCTGTGGAATTCTTGTATGATGTTTACATTTTCGTGTGAATTGAAATATTGACACGAAAAGACTCAATTTATCTTAAAATAATTTCCATGTACATTTGTAAATTGTCATTGTACATTTGTTAATAATTGTTCTTGTTGTGCAATTTGTTAAGAAGAATTTTGTATTAAAATATTCTTAAACATATAAATATAACTTTGGTTATCAAAAGTTTTAATATAAATATATGAGAGAAGAATAAATAATTTGATTATTGAAATTTGACGTAGTAGGATTTATAGGAATGACGTTACAGGAGTAAAGACGTAAGAGAAGGATAACTAAGGAAATGGTGGTGACGGGCGGAAAAGGGGGTGTAAAGGGAAAGGTTAGTGTGGTAGTTCGCTATAATTATTCGCAAAGCGTAGCTATTTGCAAGCAAATTAATCGCGGAGCGTTCCAG